ATCGCGGCCCGGCCCCGGCGGAGCCGCGACTCCACCCGCGTGTCGGGCTGGGAGGCCGGAGGGGGAGCAGCCCCCGGGCTGGCAGGCAGGCAGCGGAGCCAAGCTGTGCCCCCACGGCTGTGGGTTTGCAGGAGCGGGGAGCCGGGCGCCAGAGCCAGCAGCAGCGACACGGGCTGCTGTAGGGCACCTTTGCTCCCACGCGACACCGATGTCCCCGCATCTTGCCAGCCTTCCCCGAGCGCAGCTCCACGTCCATCCTCCTGCCCAGGAGGGCGTCAGGCCCCGCCAAGCCCAGTTGACCCGAGGGTTTAACTTAGCTCCGTTTCACCGGGGCCTGGGAAAAGTGTGGAGAGGAGGCAGCTTGCCAAGGGCTCGCATTCGCCAGTGCGGGAGCAGTCTTGCACTTTCCATGAGAGTCAGGTAACCAAATCCCCAGCCTGCATGGCAGCGTCCCGCAGGACAGGCCATAGGTTCCGGTGCTTTGGCAGAAAGCAACTGTCTCATGAATGCCCTTTTGGGGTAAGGGGCTGTCATTTTGCTCTGTGGTTGTGCAGCACAAAGCAGCCCTCCCTAGTCATGGACCAGGTCCCTAAGGTGCTGCCACAATGCAAAAAACCTGCCGCAGCAAAGATAATGCAAGTGGGGAAACTGCTGTATTCACAGACAGGCAAGAAAGGGCTGAGCTCTTTGAATACAAAGCACAGAACAAATGCAGCTAGCTTCGCCCAGCAGACTCCCGAGAGAAACACAAGATCTCCCATGCCATGAGGTTATGCCTTTTCCCTTGTTTCTGTCAATAATCATTGAGAGCTTGGGGTTAGTCTTGCTTTTGTACCAAGGGCTGATCTTAAGGGCCTATTGTTCCCTTAATGCAGTCAGTTCTAGCTGAATGCAGGACTAGGCAGAGCCTGTTAAGTTACTGGATTTCCTTATATGGTTCAGCTGTGTTGTTCTATTATCTGGCATTGTATCTGTCATTGGTTACCATAATGATCTTTAGAAGATTTAAAAATAAAGGAACTGGTAAAGTGAGTTCCAGGAAGGGTCAGCCTAATAAGCTGCCCTCCCTATATATCTTCCAGGTCAGGAAAAAAGTGATCAGTTGCAGCATTTTATTGCTGGTGAACTCAGAGAAGAAAGAAGAAAAGAGTTTGCCAGATTGTATTTGCGGTTCAAATATCTGTCCATGTATATGTAAATCAGGGGTTGGTCTTAGGCTCTTGACAAGTTGCTACCATGGCACTGAATGCCATCAAATCAGAAGAGTCACCTCTACACATCCTTTTTACAGGCTGCACCCCCTGCCAGTAGCACCTGGGTGCATTACTGGAGCGTGCATCATCATGACCAGGCTAAGCCCTGGTTGGGTCTTACAATTTCTGGTGCTACAAACTGGGCCTAAGATTTCCACACAGTGCTGCTCAGCTTCCCCCAGGGGCTTCACATGTGCAAACCTTAGGAAATCTGCCATTTAGCCAAAGGTAGAAAACTGCATCTGTCTTCACCACTGTGGAGTCCTCAGCACATGTTCAACCAAACTGCATTTACTTACTGCTGTACAAATGCTTCCCTGTCTTAGTCACATTGAAGCTTTTTCTTTACAAACAAGGCAGCTCTAGGAGCAAAACAAAAGCTGTGCAGTCTAGTGGATAGATCCAGGGAGCAGAAGCCAAAAGGATTGAGGGCTCTAATCTCCTGCTGAGCTGTACAAACTTAGGTGAGCCCTGCCTCCTTAACAGCAGAAAGTCAGACTCTGCACTGGAGCCAAGCTGGACAGAGGACCTTCATTTACAAATAAAAGACATTTCAGCTTGCTACTCAGATTCCCTCTGCAGTCACAGCTGGATAGATTCTTTACTTCCAGTCCGGAGTGGTCGTGTAGTGTAGTGCACACTGTTAAATAGTTCCTGTGTTTCACCCCAGGGAAGGCTGCAATTCAATGATGAGTGAAGTCATTTGTATGCCACACTCTGCTGACCTTGTAAAGAATGTCTTCATGCTGTAAACACACAATATCATAGCTGCATTCACACATAAGTTCTCAAAAGGAACATTACCTCTACAATAGCATTCCTCTCTTTTAGGCTGTCTAATAGAAAAAGTATGTTTTTTCTACTGAACTGATTGGGATGTTTCACAAACCAAAGAGCAGCTTAGAAATTGTACATGGTAGAGGTGGTTTGGGGTTTTCAGATCAAGCAGAAGGCAGGGTAGATTTACACCCTATAGACTAACTAAATCAGAGACGCATGCACTTTCATAAGCAGTGGATGGCTTCATCAGATGCTATGAAGGGATGAAGCAAGCTGCTGCTAGAAAAGTAGATGCCTCTCTGATTTATTTAGCTGATAAGGTGCAAATCTACCCTGGCTTCTTTCTGCCTTACTTCAGACTACTAACAGGGCTAACTACCTCGCTCTCTCTTCAGATCAATCATTGGATGACCCATCTCAATGATGAATGCAGATTTCTTGCTTATGGCTTCCTAGAATGGACCCGAATGTAGATCTCTGCTAAAGCGATAGGCAGCAGTGTGTAGAACTGAGCAAATGGAGTTTCTCCATTGTTCCTTTCAATCCCTTTTTTCTTTCATTGGGGACAGAACAAGTTGTACTTTCTGTAGTTAAACATGGAGTTGAGAAGAAAAGCTCTTAACTTACGGAAAGGTCCAACCACTCACACACTTAGCTCTAGTAGTCTGAAAACTGGGGAAAACTTTAAAAATAACTCCAGCTGGCACATGATTTATTGATTATACCTCATCATATGATGAAACCTCAGCTAGTTATTCAATAAAAATCAAGACAGCTTTCAAGCATCCTTACCAAGGAAAGCAATGGAGACGGCCAGCTATGAAGCTAGTCAGAATAGGGAGGTCATATGAAATGTCACAGAAATTGTGGGGAAATGATCCAGTTCTGCAAAAAATGTTTTAAAAACTCTAAAATTTTCTATTTTTTTAAATTAAAACCTGAAATCCAAGTCCACTGGAATTTGGTGGGTTTCACTTATTCATCAAAAATATATACAATTTTGAAAAGACATAAAACTTCATTTGTCATCAAAATAGATGCGACCAAAACCAGGGACCAGCATGTAGCCATGAATCTCCTCTGTTCCTAGCCACTCTTGCTTGGCCCCCTAGTGGTAGTTTATCATCACCCAAGCCACAGGGGAGAGTAATTCAACTAACAGCCAGTGCAGTTGGATTGGGAGACCTTTGCTGGGATGGCACATGAAGGTCTCACAACAGCAGCTGACAGGCCAGACATTCGCACCACTGGTAGCAGCACAAAAAGAAACCCCAACTAAACTCCTCCTGGGAGTTTGGTTTTCCTAACTGACCAGTAGAACAGCACCAGAGAGAAATGTGAATGCATCCTCTATCTCCTCCCTGTATGCTGCCTGGAACAAGGCAGATCTGGTCACTGAGATCTTGCCCCTTGTCTTTGGTGGGCACCATGGTGGGCACCAGGGGCTATAAGTTCCAAGAGGTTCTGCCTATACTCTTTGACTAGCTGCCCCCTTCCTCTGCTGCATCTTTAAAGCACCAGAGCCCCAACCACATGGAAGCAGAACAGAGGTGGATAGAGCCAGGAAAGCAGCAGTCCCTGAAGCACCTACTCTGACTTATCTGTCAGAGTGGAAGTCTGTCTGCTCCATTGTCTTGCCCTGCGTTGTACACAGGAAAGGAGTCTGTGGACTTGTCCTGGGTCATCCAAACCAGCACGGGTGCCTGACATGAACAGGCAAATCTGCACTTAAGTATTTAAAACCAAGCTCTGTAGCACTGCTGTTTCTCTCCCTCAGACCAACACAATGTCTTTGACACCAGTGGAATTAGTCCTGATTTATGCCAGTGTAGGCGGGGAATCGAGTTGTGGGTTCCATTAATGTCCTTGTTTTCTTGTGGCTCATGTTACTGTAATTATTTTCCCTTTTCTCATTAAGCTTGTGCAGTCCCTGGGCATGGATCAGAGCCGTGGTTTAGCAGAGATCAAAGATAACTGCTTCCCCTCATAGTGCACTGACTTACATTCACTTCTTCCTGTCTTATTATCATCACTAATTTCCCCGCTAAAAACAATAACCCCTAGCACTTACTAGCTTCCTATCACTATGCAAACCTTCACTAATTAGTCCTTATAATACTCCCATTAGGCAGACACAGCCCTACTGATTAGTTATTATTATAAGAAGTTATTTAACCAAATCTGACAAAACCCAAGGATGGAGTAGATTTGACCCGTGGTTTCATTCTGCTGAGTTCCAGTGTGAGCACACACATCAGGCATGCAGGTCTCAGGTGGCATAAATCAGAGCTGTCATGATTTCATTCAAGTCAGCAGGTCAGCGTGGTGTAGTTGCTATTGATCCCCAAGTGTTAGTACAAGACTGCTCTAGACCCTTGCCAAATGTCATGCCTGGGTGACCCAGCTGTAAACAGGTACCTACTTGTTTGGGCTGGGGAGTCCAAGGCAGCTGGGTATAATGCTATCCTCATCACTGCCTTGTGTACCATTGGTTATAGGCCACTGGCATGCCTCAGTCATGTTAGTCTGATGAACACTTAAACAATGTGCCACCTCCCCAGTGTTTCTGCTACAAATTAGTGCTCCTCCACTGCAGTCTGCTGCTGATTTACACTCACAGAGAATCCTGTTCCACATATCTCAAATGACTTGTACAGGTGAAGATGAAAAGAATTCACAATTCCCTTGGCTGAATCCCAGCTGCTCCTACTTATCTCAGGGGAAGTTGGAGGTGTTCAGTCCCCAGCTAGACTTGAGCCTTTGGCAAGTGGCTTCCCTTCTAGCTAGAAGTTTCTAACACTACCACACATTAGCACAGTTATCGAGCACCATGGTTATCCTCAGGACACACTGGGGAAGGGAGAAGTTGCATTGCTCCTATTATACACCTGGCAGAGCATGGAGCAGTAGGAGAGCTCTCAGCCTCTTCCAATAGGTGACAATCCAGAGGGGAGGTGCTTATAGCCAATACAGCTTCAGCTTCACTCAGCCAGGGAGGTGCTCCAAAAACATACTGTACTAATGCTGGCTGCAGGACAATAGCTCACAGAAATTAGCAAAATATTTCAGAGCACCCAAAAGTCTTTACTCATGAACATCAGCTAGCCAGCAAACCATGCTTTCTCAGACAGCTGCTGTCTCCATCTTGTTACTACATCTCAGCCCATACAGGGGATAGATAAAGCTTGGCCTTTGACATTTCACTCTGTAGGTTTATAGCAGGCAGTTATTTTGGGAACCCTGGCCTTAGCTGTTGGGAGAGTTGATGCTTTGCGATAACAGCCTTTCATGCCTCTTGCTTGTTTATGCAGGGCATGAAAAGCCCCTTTGTGTAACTCAGTGAGCCTGCTGCCAGCTGGGAGCAGCGAGGCACTCACTGCATGGCTCTGATTCCCCATCATCCTTGGCATGGGATGAACTCCACTGTATGTAGCAGAGTGCTGGGCTCTGTAACCAGAGGGTCAAGACCTAGGGAAAAAGATGACAAATTTCTCCTTTCCCTAATTTTTTTCATTTGCTTTCTGCGTTTGGCTCCCTCTGGGCAATGCCACAGACCCATCAGGTGTTGGCAGAGTTGATTTCACCTCCCTGCTCTCATTGTCTGGGATACAAATAGGGAGGGAAACATTTATGTCTGGGCACAAGCCTGCTCCAAGGGGAATTTTAAGCCACTCAAAACTGCATTTCTGTTGCTCATGGGCTTTTTAGAGCCTTACTGTCACAAAAGCTAAATTTGGTGCTTAAGATCAACGAGAGTCTCCCTATGGGCATTTGGAGTCTGAGCCAAGCCTGCTAGTGTCAGTGGGAGCCTAATTTTTGTGAGCTGTGGATCAAGCCTTTAACTTCACCCTAGTATCCTGTGTACTTTTAGTCACTCTGGGGATGGAGGGAGGCAGCAGTTGCTTTCCTCATTCCAGCATCAGCTCTCATTTGTGCTCCCCAATGCGTCACGTCCTTAATTCAAGAATCCAGATGCTCCCAGCCCCTCCCCGTATACAACTTTGATGGGATCTCATTTGTGTCACTTATCTCTATCACACATGAAAAATTGGGGACACTGAGGCTCTATTTGGAGTTTTTTAAATTAACCTTTAGCATGAATGATCTGTGTCATTGTACTTACAGTTACAGGCCTATTCCCTAGGGGGTCCTCTCAAGGTCAAGCGTGTCCCAGCATGGGGTATGGTGGGGAGAAGAAGGTGTCAGCGTGCTCAGGCAAAGGAATGTCGAGTCCAGCAGGAAGAGAAAAGTGAACTGATAACACTCAGCAGCACATTCCTCTTCCAAATCCTTCCTCAGTGCTGCAGGCTCAGAGCCCCTGTGCAAGGAAGTGGAATATTATCAGCTCATTTTATAGAAGGAGAACCTGAGAGACAAGGCAGAGAACTGAGTTGCTTCCAGTAACCTATCAAATTAGCAGTGAGATTATAACTGAGCAAGAAAGCTATTCAGACCAACCCTCTGAGACAGAGTCCAGGTAAAACAGGATCTGTCTTGGGGACTTTGTTACCAGTAACAACATCCCTGTTGTTGCAGTGGCAGGGTGTTGGCAGTGCCCATGTCTCCTCTACTTTCATCTGTGGTGCATTCTTGGTGTCCAGGCACTGTTCCTTGTATTTATGGGTGAAAATTTGAAGTGGTGAATTTGGAGATTCTGTCAGTTAAGGATTGCCTGGGAGTGCTTGGGACTGGACTCGCTGGCACAGGGCACCCTTTCAAGTCCCATGTTCCTAAACTGGAAGTTGCTTTGATTTAGGAAATCTCTCTGAGATATAGGAGGTTTCAGTTGGTGACTAGCTGGGGACATGGGCTCAATGCCCTGCATGAGAATTATAAACAAAACAGCTGCCAAAGGAAACAGTTGTTTCCTTCTCCCGTGATTCACAAGGCAACACAACATGGAGTGTCAGTGGCATGATTCAAAGCTTGGGAGAGGGGTGGGGCTGCTGGGGTCACCAATCTTGCTCCTAAAGCTAAAAGACCAAACCCAACACTGGGACTGAATATTCTTGGAAGCTGAGGCTCAGATCCTCAAAGGTACCTAATTCCCATTGGAGTTACCTTTCCGCACCTGAACCTTAGTTCTTCTCCAGACTGTAACAGTGGGCATCAGGGACACAGAGTAGCAGCATTACCTTAGCTTACTTATCTTCCCATTTTTACCATACTAGGGAAGGCATTTCTTGAGTGTCAGGAGAGGCAGCCTTGAGTGCTTCTAACTCATGGTGACTACAGGTAAGATTCTGACAGTTTAATTAAAGTCCAATATGGGAACACCATGGACCGAGTGAAACAAGGGTCTGACATCAGCAGTGGTTCACAGATAGTGACAGTCGAGATCAACCCAACACCAGTCTCTGGCACTAGAGAGGAAGAAAGTGAGAGAGCTAAGCTCTAATGAATAAATAGGGAACAGAAACTTTCCCACTTTCCTCACTGAAACGAAAGCACCATGGAGTTAAGGTCAGCAAACATGCTTTAGGCCAGAAAAGGTTAATCTGTTCAGACCACTACGCTAGTGTCTGCCCAGGAAGCCTCCTTTGAAATGGCTATCATCTTCAGCTGCCCCACTAACCAGGGATGCTATTTTATTTTTTTGCATACAGCCAAGTTGAACTCTGTCCTAAGAGGCTTTGCCTTGGGAGATAGCAGAGTAGGGTGCTGGCAGGAATGCTGATTTATAAAACTGTGGTGACAGAAGAGGCTATTTTTTGCTTGAGAAATTGACCTTGTGCAGTTTTTTTGCCTGTTGCTTCCAGAGCTATAACTTACCAGTGCATATAGGGTGGAATTGGTAAGAATTTTCCTATTTGGAATGATGGAGGGGGAGAGGACAGTGAAAGCGGGGTTTTGGATGCGACTCCACCACCATCTTTCCCAGGTCTCAGGAACCTTGGCTATTTTCTCTGAAGCCCCAGCTCCTGGATTCAAAATATTATATGAGAAATTCAATTTTCATTAAAAAAAAAAGATTTTCCTAACCTTCCTGAGTGCAGGGAAAAGCTGGAAAACCAGGTCTCCAAGATATGGAAGCAAATAAAAAGAACTTGTAGATTCAAGCATGGTGTAGGAATCTCCAGTAAACAGAATAGATTAAGGCCACATGAGACCACAATGATCAACTTATCTGACCTCCTGCATAACATAGGTCAGAGACTCCCACTAAGTGGTTCCTACATCATGCTCAATAAGTTCTCCTGAAATTAAAACAGCTTTCAGAAAGAGTCAATCTTGATTTAAAGACAGTGAATGATGGAGAATCCACTACATCCCTATATTAAAGTAATTACCTACACTGTAAGAGAGCTATGCATGATTTCCATCCTGAATTTGTCTAGCATCAGTGGCCAGCCCTCACACCTTGTTATACATTTGTCGGTTAGTTTATAGAGTCCTCTGCTCTCAGAAATCATCTCCCCATGCAGGGATTTATAGAACAGTCTCTAGGATAAAATAAGCACATTGAGCTTCCTTAGTCTCCCTATGAGGCAGGTTTTCTTGTAGCTCCATTACTAGGAAAGTGAATCCCTTTGAACCCAGTGTGCACTGCTGGTAACAAACTGCATGATTTTAAGTCAACCGCATGGTTATTTGGGGCTTGACTCAGTAGGTTTGAAGGCTGGCAGTTGGTGATATTCAGAATGAAGTCTTGATTGCACAGGCCTCTGTATCTTGTCTGAGCCTCTATCCTAGGTCAGGGCCTCAGTCCACTCAGAAGGAAACAGTGTTGAGCAGGGGGCTGAGAGAAAGACAATCCAACTGAGCTTAACTCCATTTATTTTAAGTCAAACCAGGAAATACTCACACTGGGACAGGAGTCATAGGATTTATCTGTACCTCTACATGAGGCAACTCTTGTAACCTTGAAAGCGGAAGAAATAAATAACCTTGAGAAGGGCTCTTTCCAGGCACTGTTCCTAGCAGCTGGACAATGGGCTACTGTATATGGAGGTGATCCACATCTGCTGCCAGCAGCTGGACAGTCAAATAAACCTCACCAGCAGACTTTTCAGCAGAGCCACTTAGTTCTCTAAAGAGGAACACAGAGAATCATCATCTCTTACGGGATAGATGCTAAGCCAATTACATCCTTAGTGTTGAAGAGGTCAGAGGTGTAAGTATAAGGTAGGGAGATTATCTAGATAGGATTACATCTGACACAGCTGGAAGTTTTCTTTTGTGGGGAGGGATACTAGGGATGGGGTAAGGATTTATTTTGAGCTAGTTTAGCCTGCCCTAGCCACTCCAGCAGTGAAATGCTTCACCTTCATGGACCTACACACAGGAGGGCAGTGTAGGCAAGATGGCTACTGTTGCTTTGATGTCTACAGCCCTGGTGAGAGCTGGGGAGAAGCAGATGTAGAATCACAAAAAGCTAGATGACTGGGGAAAAGGTGTGTTGCTTTCAACTGTAAAGAAACAGGAAGGGCTGCCTGAGTGTGAACAGGATACATCCAGTTCCCCCAGCACACAGGACCCTGCCATCCTCCTGCCTTGTCTTTGTCCCTAGGGGCACTGCCTTCCAACTAACCTTGCCAACAGTGCAGGAGACCTGCACATCCTCCATCAGTCACTCTTGAACACAAAAAGGAAGCTTACAAGAAGTGGAAGCTTGGGCAGACATCTTGTGAGGAGTATAAAAGTATTGCTTGGGCATGCAGGGTTGAAGTCAGGAAGGCCAAAGCACAATTGGAATTACAGCTAGCAAGGGATGTGAAGGGTAATATGAAGGGTTTCTACAAGTATGTTGCAAGTAGTAAAATCGACCTGGTTGGCCTAGTGGAGACATGGTGGGATGAAACATTTGACTGGGCAGTAGACATAGAGGGCTATATGTTGTTTAGAAGAGATAGGAAGGGGAAAAAAGGTGGTGGTGGAGGGGGGGTTGCGCTCTATGTTAGGGAACAGTATACCAGTTCTACTTTCCAAATGGGACCAGAGGAAGGCTTAACTGAGACCCTGTGGGTCAAACTTCAAGGAGGGCGGGGGGAGAGGGATCTGGTGGTAGGGGTTTACCAGAGGCCACCACATCAGGAGGAAGAGCTGGATCTGGAATT